TGGATATACAGGAATACAGTCATACAAGTGTCAACTCCTCTGAGTTAGCATGGGATGCAATTTTCGACAAGGACCTGCCCAAAAATGCATCCTGCTTGTTTTTAATTTAAAAATTGTCCCACACACATGTAATTCACACTAGTAGCTTAGAACACATGTGTAAACATGTATAAAATGTTACAAGTGTATATTTCTTTAAAACAGCATGTATCTTGAAGTTAAAGATTTAAACTAGGAAATGGTGGAAAGCATGATGGGAAAACCAGTAGGACCATCAGAAACTGGCAGAGTGACAATAACCTAAAGATAAATTAGAAATTATGAGGGCAAATTTGATTAAGTATTTATTATGTTGGGTTCAGTTAAACAGTTTTACTCTCTTCTCAGTTGGTGGCGGCCATTATAAATTTCATCTAAACATTGCCATCTTCCTCTCCTTTGCAGTTGTAATGCCGTTTCTCTGTCTTTTAAACACATTACCTTTTTTTTCCATTTCTTCATTAAAATCTCAAGGTCAAGTGGGATGAAATAGGCACTTTGTGTTGCCTGTTGTCTTGGTGAATCATTGAATTGCATCCAGTGCTAATGCCAGCCAATCAATTTCTAACGCCAGCTTATCCAATGCTTGTAGGAGCCTATCCAAGGCTAATACCAGCTGATCTGTGTTGATGGGCAGCAGAAGAAGTTGCTAATTCAGTGAGTGACCAGCATAGGCATGGTAGACCCCAGCCTCTCCAAAGCTAATGCAAGAGTTCTCTTCCTCTAAGTTACTAGCTTGTGCATCTCATTTGCTAGTGCGTGCCGCTCAGTTACCGCTGCCAGCCTATAATTGATCAGATCAGAAGCTGGCATGGGAATGGATATAGCCTCTTGTGCCAATGAAGTATGCACTGGTGGGTATGCAATAGTCTTAATTTTGGCACCAATACCGTGCAATAAGAAAAATCTAAATAAGGCGTCTTCAACCTTAGGCCTTGATTTCCAGAGCTTTGCACCTTTAAGATCTGGGTCTGCTTCCACACACCTGAATCAGGTCGTTGAAGTATGGAAATTCCTTTTCATCCGTTTAAAGACAAGCTAACCTTCTGAAGATTAGACCCAAGGTTTATTTGCAAAAAACTATCTGTGTCCGATTAGTACCACCAATACCAAGTGTTTTATACAGTATCTGATTGTAAAAGGGAATTGGTGGTATTGGTTCATCCTTTGATCACTCCAGTTCAATCCGATTAGGTAATGTTTCTCAGATTGTGTAAAGGAGAAAACATGTTTAAGCATTAACAGAATGTATTCCTGTCATGGTTAACAAATCATTGATATAAGCACAAATTAGAGAAAAAGATCTCTTCTATATTAGGCCCTTTTTACATCTTCACCCCTCAGCTGGGAGAACCAGCTAAATGGCCAAGAGCCTCTGCACACTTTCCAATTTTATCTATAAGTGTGCAACGAGGTGTCTCCCCAAAGCCCAGCTTCAGCTTTGGACCTTCTCACACAGCCTTGAGTTTTACCATATAAGGTGATTCTGGAGCCACTGTAGACATCATATGTAAACATAAGAATGTCAATTTTAGCTAACTTACACAGAAGAGTGAACAGATATACAAATGAACAGACAATAATATAAAAAGAATTGAATCTTTATTCAACAGTGGTATCAAATATCACTTTCTCCTTGTATTTCAGCTCTATGTTTACTTTTTTTTTTTTTTTACAGTGTCCTGTCTGGCAAGGTGGCAATAAGAATAATTGTCTTGATGCCAAAAGGAGGCCAACAGATTTTACTTTCACAAGTGTAGCGGTATCGCAATTGCCATACTGCTCCACTTGTTTCATGTATATAAATTGCTTTATTATAATTATGCAGGGACTTTTACAATGTAAGTAGAGCAGAAAAACAGAAGAAGAAGAAGGAAAAAGAAAAAAAAACAGGACAAAAGATGAAAGAAAGAGGAGATAGGAAGGAGACAATGACAAAACATTTTCAGTCTGCTTCAACACCTGTAATGAGATGGAGAAAAAAAAAAAAAAGAACAGCACAACCAAAAGACACGGTACGAGATATACAATAAAGCAAACACCTTGAAACTATCGCTAAAGTAATATTATTAAGTCTGACATGTACTCTGTGTTACCTGAAGATATGAATGTGGGGTTTCTGTTTGGAAGTGAATCTCTAAGTACCTGAAGCCTAGCACCTGTAGTTGTTTGTGAGGGTGAACTTGTGCATGTAAAGTTTTAACCATAGAAAAAATGCTCAATAGTGGTTGTGGAGAGCCGGAGAGGCACACCCCCCAGAGCACTGAGTCCAGCGCCGGGAGACCCAAAGCCCCAAGCGCCCAAGGGGACCCCAGAAGCGAAGGCACCAAGGCGGGGCCAGCCCCGGAAATCAGACCCCCACCAAGGCAGGAGGAGAGACAGCCACGAAGAAGCCCCCCAGCCATCGCCATGCCGGCACCCCGGGGAGCCGCGGGGACGAGTCCGCGGGCCCCGCTGGCAGCCGGCCACCCCGAAGTAGGGCCGGGCACCGAACACCAGCCCCCCCACGGCGCCGACCGAAACGCCCCAGCCCCACAGAGCACCGAAACACGCCCCGCCCCCCGGCACCAAGCCCCGGCGACCGGCCGCAACACCCACCGCGACCGCACCACCCAGGAAAAACACTCAGGCGGCCCCGCCCCCGGCCGGGGCCCACGCGCATCCACCGCGAACCGGCCGCGAGCGCCGCGGGACCCCTCCAAAACGCCCCCCCCGGCCAAAAGCGCAGCCCCACCCCACCGAGACCGATGCCAACAGCGCGCAACGAAACACACCGCGCACAGAATCAGCCCGAGAGCAGAAAAGCCGCCCGGCGCAAAACCGCAAGAAGAGCAGACCGCAGCCGGCGCAACCACCCCCCCCAGCAGCCCGAGGGGCAGCACAAAGCGGAGCGAACCGCGCCGCCCCCCCACCGGACGAAGCCAAAGCAGCTCAGCCATGCCCGCCGCCCCCCCCCCCGCCGCCCGCACCAGGACCTGACACACGGCCAGAGGAGCTCCGCCGCCCCGGCCCCTCAACACACGCCGGCCATAGCCACTCCAGGCCCCCACCCGCCCCGCAGCCCCACCCGCCGCGATCAGCGGGAACAGAGCAGCCCCGCCATGCCTCCAGGAGGGAAAACCCACCCGAATACCCAGCCAGCGCAGCCAGCCCGCCCAGACACGCCAGCAGGACCCCCACCCAGCAGGCCCGCCCGCCCCCCGAGAAAACAGACATGCCAAACCCCCCCCAAAAAAAAAAAAAAAAAAAAAAAAAAAAAAAAAAAAAAAAAAAACAGCGGACACCAGACACCGACCCGCAACCGCTCCCCCCCACCGAGGAAGAGAGTAAAAATAAAATAAAAAAAACATAAATACATAGGTAAATACATAAATTAATTGATAAATTAATAATTACAATTAAAATAAATAGGCAAGAGGAGAAGTGCAAGCGGAAAAACCGGAGCCCAAAACAGGACCCAAGACCCGCACCCCACCATGCCGTGCAGCTGCCCCCCCCCCCCGAACCGATACCACAGACCCGGCATAGGAAAGAAACACCGCCCAGGAACCGGCATCGTAGCGAAGGCACCGGCACCGACCCCGAAAATCCCCGAACAACACCCAGCCCCACCCCGAAGCGGATCCAGTCCCAGGCCCCAGGGATCCGAGGCCCCCAAGGGCACCCGATCCCCAGACGGGAGCCCCAGCAAAGCCCCGGCCGGCCGGGGCCAGCGGAGAGGCCGCCAGGAATGAGCCAGCAGTCCCCCGGGCATCCACCCCCAGCTCCACCAGTGCACCGGTGAGCCCCGACGCCAGCCAGCGGAGGGAGAGCAGGACGGGGGGAATGGGCTCCGCACTTAGCGGAGACTTGAGATGTATTTGGGAGAGGGTGCGGTTGAGACCCCAACCTGGGAAAAAAAAAAAAAACACACCATCTCAATCATGCCTTCCCTCCCTAGTGCCCCCACTCGTACCACAAGGAAAAAAAATAATAAATAAAAAAAATAAAAAATAAAAAAAAATAAATAAAAATAAAAATTGAATAAAATAATAATAATAATAATAAATAAAGAAAATCACAACGCGGACACACATTCACACATAACACTCACATCCAATAATACCAGGACCAAAAACCCGGCGACACCGGTGGTCGGTCCCGGGACTATCGGATGACCCCATAAGTGAACCTAAAATCCGGATGTGAGGGGAGGGGAGCGGCGACACCGCCACACCAACCCATCTCTTTCCTGCTTCAAGCCCGGCCCCCCACCCCGCACACGGACCGGACCGTGTACAGCTCTATGTTTACTAGTTTATGTACTATTGTTCTTCCCAACATGCTGCTCCTGACTTCCTGTGTCTAACACTTAGTTTCTGCTAACAAGCCAAACAACTGGACACACTCAACACTTATATTAAACTGTGAAAAAAAAAAAAATACCAATTGCATTTTGCAGTGAAATATTTTCACTTTTTTTTTTACTGTATTATGCAAGGCACATGAATTTAGTCAGAATTAACAAAATCAAACATTGCTGGATGGTTATTAAAATATTACCTGTTTGGCACTGAATCAACAAAAGATAATTTAAACACAGAATAAAAAAGTAGCTCTTTCTTTTTTTCTCTCATTGGTTACTACTCATTTTCAATGCAAAGTGTATAGCCTTGATAATTAATCTTTTCATGGTGTATCTTAAATCCTATTATTTTGTTACCATTACATGAACCAAAGAAAAAGAGTCTGATACAAAATATTGAATGAATAAATTTCCTTAAATCCTAAATTTAGAACAATAAAAAATCGACACCAAAAACGTTTCTGATTGGATTGAATAATAGAATTTGAGTTTTTCCCCCTCACTTCATCTGTATTACATTCTTCATCGTAATTACAAAGAATCTGATGTAAAAAAGGCTACTACTACTGTATGTTCATCAGAAAAAAAAAAAATACTTTTTTAACAGTTTCTCTTTCCTAAACATTTTTTCACACTGATATTGATTGTAAATCACTCTAAACCAAACATTACAAAAACAATTGTGGCAAACAATTCATCCTCAGTGAAGGCTCCCTCATCTCGAACAACCCTAGATCCCACACGTCATGATGACCGTTCTGCGATCAAAGAAAGCTGTTGAACAAACAAAATAATATAACTGGAAGCTTTGATGATAGTAAACAGCAGAACAACTTTTTAAAATATGTCATCTCCAAGAACTTTACCATTTTCAGCTGCTTTTCAGAAACTCTTCATGGAGTTGTTGAACCCTGGTTAGTTCTTCTGAAACGTCTAAACATACAGTTTTGATGACATACTCCTTAGACTATTATTGAAAGTTAATTAATATTATTTAAAGAACAGGTACTTTACCTGGAATTGATTCCTTATCAATCTTGAATGAGAGCTCAATTGATTCCTTCATGGTTCTCTCCAGAGTCGCCAAGATCTCCGTCTAAGTTGGCATTTGAATTTGTGTCATTTATTGCAGTAAATCATTTGTTTCAAAGTAGAAGATAAAGTTAATCTTTTAAATGTCATTTTGGTTTTCTGAGATCTTTACTATGTGGTTTAGTGGAGAGGCTTATTTTAGGACTTATCCAACTATAGCTTCTCTGTCACGGTCAGACTCTTAAACATTTCTGTATTTGCTGGTAACAGTTCCTCTAACTCATCTGGAGTCCAACCCAGTGAATAAATAAAGATCAGTGGTTAAAAGCATGACTGATCCTAATGTATTTTAAAAAGGATATTGACCTAGTAAAATGGTTTCTTACAGAATAATCAATGCACTCAACATTGGGAAAGTTTATTGCACAAGCGACTATGGTAGCAGTTGATAGTTTCATATGAAAGAAAACATTTTTCGTATTTATTTCAACTTATAATATGTAACATACCGTCAAACTGCTATGCAGATCCAACATTTCATCTTTAGCCTTTTCAAACAGGATGTCCTTTGATTTATGGACATGTCTCTCTATAGTTTCCCTCATGTTCTGCAGTAAACCAGTTCCTGAAAATCCTGCTGCTTCTGCAAAAGAGAATGTTGAAATTTATTACAAATGTAAAATGACAAGGAATGCATAAATGCAGAACTTTTGTTAATTTATATATCAATTACTCTTACTGTCATAGCATTCCTGCAGGATTTCCTCAGCTGTCCTTGCTAGACTGTTGTAGATGTTTTTTTTACGGTTACGAATAAGTTTGGTCAGTTTTGTCTTTAATTGTTCTTCCTAAGAAAAATATTAGAAATGAACTGTTAAAAAAACAGACTTTTGGGCAAACTGTATTAATTGTACATGTTGTTGGTCTGTAAAAAAGCATTTATCTGTTGATTGACATGAACATAATACTTTCCCCATCAGTTACCTCATTCTTCAGAAATACCAGCTGTAGTTCAACATCACTGTACTTCTGTTTTAGCCCTTCAACATCAAGTGAAAATTCTTTGATTACTCCGTAGATTGGACCACATTTTCCGTCATTCCTGAAATATTTAAATGTATTTTCTGATTATCTTACACTTCTTTAAATTAGTACACTCTAGGGGTGGAACGGTTCACAAAATCCACGGTTCGGTTCACAGTTTCGTGGTCACGGTTTTCGGTTCGGTATATGTTTATTGTTACACCGAAAAATAAAATTTTTTATAAAAATTATAAAAATTAATGATTTGTTTTTAAATGAAATTAATGAAAAAAATCCCCAAAAATTAATGAATTGTAATTATTTTTAAAGAAACCATGGATCATTTCTGCATGTTTTACTGCTTTGAATTCAATCATCTCGCGCATGCCCTCTATGATCTCCAAGGAACTCAGAGCGGAGCGGACGGGAGCCACAGTGGAGGCTGTATGCTTTGCTTTGTGCAGGCGGTCTAGAGCCCAGCGGGGCGGAGCACTAACAGAGTATGTGGGATTTCGGGGTTAACATGACATGTTGGTCAAGTTGCTGTTAGCATAAACAAAAGGTGTTGCACAATGCTTGCACACTGTTGCACTTTTATCCACAACTTTCTTTCCGCCGTCATCGTAGGTCACTCTAAATGCAAAGTTGTCCCATACAGCAGACCTATAAAGTGCTGCTGGCGCGTCTTCCAACTCCTGTTCTTTCCCACTCGCCATACCCACACGATTCTCCACAACAACTAATTTTTTTCTGCTATGCTGCTTCGCTTCTTCTTCTTGTTTACTACTGGTGGTTGGCTGTGGTCGCAGTACCGCCACCTTCTGCTCTGGAGTGTACACGCTTCGCCTATGAGAAAATGGAGCAGCGCATGAACCGAACCGAGACAGTCGAACCGAACGGTTCAGACGGTTTTCAAAAACCGTTCCATCCCTAGTACACTCATTGTTTATTGCACACATTCTCCTAATTTAAGCAGCTTATAAAGTACAATACTTACGGGAAAGTTTTTTTGAATTCCTCATCAATGCTATCTGTCAGGAGTGAAATTAACTTTGTGTTCAAGTTTTTTTCGGGCCGACGTTTTGGTTTCAGGACCCCTTTATTTTCGACCAATTTTCTTAGTTGTTTATAAAAACCACGATCACTCTTTCTCTGAAGAAATACAAACATTTCAGAGTATGAATAAATACAAAGTACTGTTTACTAGGTTTTTAGTATCCAAAAACATACTGGAGGATAGAGAAAGGTCCTCAAGATTTTTTCAAAAGAATGTTTGGATTTTTCGACTCCTTCTTGTAGGCACTTTTCAAAAGTTTTGTAATTCTCCATCATTGCATATCTGATCAAGTCACTTTGTTGGCTGAGGTTTCTCTGAAGTTCCTTACAAACATCTTTATTTTCTCCACTCTGAAAATGAAATAAAAATATTAGTTAGAAAAAATGTGTGGTATGAGTAGCTCTCACTGTGTTTATAAAGTCATGTTGCTGTAGCTTTGATCTTGGTTAGGCCAATTTTCAAGCATGAATAATTATGTCTGAATACTAACTCAGAACTTAAACATTGTCTTTTCTTTTAGGCCCCGTCCACACGAAGTCAAAACGAACACGAAACGCTAATATTTTCCAGAACGTTTGTCGTAAAGACGGAGACGTAAAATAAATGTGATCGTCCACACGAATGCATGAAAATGCTGCAAAATGTATGCCATGCCTGTAAGTGGCGCTGTGGTGCCAAAGCAAAAATAGCCGACGAAATGTTGGGCATGCGCATTAATATTGATACATGGTTGCCCTGCGGGTCCATTTTCGTGGTTCAGTCAAATTCAGGTGCTGAACTATGTCGTCGATATTGCTCTGTTCTTCCTGGAGATATTCCAGAAGAAGAAGATTTTGTTGTAAGCCCGACAGCAGAGCGAGTAGCATGAGCAGCAACCATTCAACACAGTACGGCGCCATTGTTGTTGTGGTACTGTGTCGCGCATGCGTGTTTAGAGGCGACGCTATGACGCATGCGTGTAAGAAAAAAATGCGGTTTAAAGCTTAAAGATGGAAACTCGAAAACGGCGTTTCAAAATCTTCCCACTCTGAAGGCTTAATAAAAAAAAGATTGTTTACAGACCCCCGAAACGCCGGCTTCGTATGGATGAGAGGCTGGTTTGGTAAAAAATTTGTGCGTTTAGGCCAGGGTTTGGCTTCGTGTGGACGGGGCCTTACTTAACCTACATTTACCTATTTCGATGTTACTTAAATAACATCCATATTATAAATAAGCAACATTTCCAGATTATTATACATAAAGGAATTGTTGGTAGTCTTCAATTAATGATTAATCAAAGAGAAATCAGAAATTGCTTTGTAAAAGACTGTTTTAAAAGAAAAATTTGCGAAAGGCCTAGATAAAAATGATAGTACCCTTAGAAAGAACATTAAAGCGATATCAAACATTAAGGGTTTTGATTATAGGAACATTTTGCTGCAAAGCAACTGTACTACCAACTATGCAGCCAAAGTTTAGCAGAAACTGTCTCATTAAAAATGGTTCATTAAAATGTTTTTAATGGTCCAAGACTGATTCCAGTCAAACATTACTTCAAAAGAAGAACCCAGGAAAATAAGATGTTCTCCTTCTGCATCTTCCCTAATGTATTTTGTTTCTTCTAGCTTCAGCCCCAGGTTTGTCAGAACAAAGTAGAATGAATCACTGGGTTTAATACAGAACTGCTTCATCTCTCAGTGTTCTGACTTAGATCTCTAATGATGTTTGGTTCTGACCTCCATCGTTTTCATCATGAAGAAAAGGTGTTCAAATAATTTGAAATCACTCTTGAGGTTAAAGGCCACAGTTTCTTATGGCAGTGTGAGGGCAATTTGGATAAGGACAAAATTGTTATATTGAGTTTAACAGTTTTAAGACAGTTTTTTTTTTATATGGATTTCTACTTAACCTTAATAAGATTAAGAGAAGTGGAACTTGGAAGGTGTTTTTTTTTAACCCAAAAAAAAACTTAATGGCCTAAATCTTACCATATTCCCTGACTTTGCTCCTTGAATCAAAGAGAGGATCCCATTAGCTCCAGACAAGTAGTTCGATGTTTCTGAGTGACAGTCATTGAGATTTTGCAGAAACTCCTGAAGCTTGGGGATTTCTGTGAAAACAAAATTCAACTTATAGAGGTAATCTTTTTGAACACAATTCTAAAGTTTTTATCACCCCAAAACAGGGATACTTATCCTACCGGTGTATTCTGGACTTAGATATTTCCTCTTGACAAACTCTTTGGAGCTCACTGTGAACACTTGGAAACAGTCTTCATTAAAATGTTTCTAAAACAATAAAGGTTAATAGGCATTATGTTTGCATCCTGTTTCTAGAAGTGGCTTATTTTGCTGTTGGATTTTTTTTGGCTCATTAAAGCTCACCTTAACTCTGGCTAGCTTGTTGAATTCTTTTCTCACAGATTCTTTGGCTGACATGTTTCTTTTGAGTATAGAATCCAACACAGCAGCTCTGGAGCAAAAATAAGTAATAATAGTATATATGTTACACATTTGGAATGTTTAACAGCACATGTCTAAATTGAAACCTTTGAATTCTGTACTATTCGTTGTGCAAACAAATCGGAAGAAGCCTACCCAGTTGTTTATTAAAAACTTTTCTGAATCTGTTGCTTGTGTGTTCACGAGTTATGACAGGGTTTCCATGGTCAGGGATTTTAATGTGCATGTACAGTATGTTGTCCTTCTAAGCCCATGGCCAGTGAGTTTTTAGACTTGTGGGAGGCTTTTAATTTTACACAAGTCACTGGCCCAACACTTGTGCACTTGTGTTGGGGCAGCAATTGTGTTGTCTAGTGGTTTTCCTGTTAACGATGTTGCAATTGTGTTGTCTAGTGGTTTTCCTGTTAACGATGTTGTTGTTGGGGATGCTGTGTTCTCTGACCACAGACCTGTAATTTTTGTTACTTTGGACTTAGAGGTGAAGCTGTCTAATTTGATCCAGTTATTAAACCCAACACAGCTTCTGCTTTTTCTCCTCTTTTTCTTTTACTGCATCTTCTTTGGATCATCTAAACTCCACTGCATTCATGGACATGGAGCAATTAATGAACTCTTTTATTTACAGCAGCTCTGAAGCCCTAGACAGTGTTGCTCCTCTTAGAGCCATTTGTCCTAAGCCAAAGCTTGAACCGTTGCTCACTGACACTACAAACACAGTTTGTGAGTTTCGGAGCGTGGAGCTTAGGTGGAAGAGGAATCACTGGGAGGTGATTCTTAGAGAGTACTGGAGATAATATCAAAGTCCAGTTAAAGCTGACAAGGTCAGTTTTTTTCGTACTTGATCTTGACTTATGTCAGTGAGCTTCAAGTTCTTTTTAAAACAATGGGTTCTGTTTTCAGTCCGAATCAGTCCACTACATTGGTGATGACAAGGAAAACTTATGAAAAATTCCTCTCCTTTTTTTGTTGAGAAGGTTGGTGCTATTAGGTCCAAATTATCTATCTCTTCATTGTATTGCTTAGTGTCCACTCAGTGTTCAGCTGTTTTTTGTCAGTTTGAGTCTGTGTCATCCGCAATCAGCTTTGACCTGGAGTCACCTGTTTCCGTGATAATAGCGTTTTAAAATCAGGTTTTTATCATCTTCGTCCTTTATCCAAAATTAAGCTGTTTCTATGTTTTAATCTTTTTGAGCATGTTATTCCTGATTTTATTTCAAGTCATCTGGAATACTGCAATGCACTTTATTCCGGTATAAACCACAAAACACTTCCCCACTTGCAGTTAGTCCAGATCGCTGCGGTACGACTTTTAACAGGCACCAAAAAACGTGAACACATTGTCCCAATCCTTGCGTGTTTGCTCTGGCTCCTTGTTAAGTTTAGAATTGATTTTAAAATATTGTTATTTTTTAAAGCCTTGAATGGACTGGCACCTCAGTACAATGCAGACCTCATCCAAATTTACCGTCCCCTGCTTGCTTTGAGGTCTAAGAGCTAGCTCTAGCTTGTGACTCCTAAGAAAAATCAGAAAACCAGAGGGGACAGAGTGTTTTGTGTTGTCCGTCAAAGGCTGTGGAATACTCTGCCCCTCAATATACTTATGGCTTCCACGGTGGATTGTTTAGAGACTTACTTTTATTCTCTGGCTTTCATCATTGCATAAGTTGTGTGGTCCTCTGTCGCTTTGAATTTATTTTATTGTATTCATTGTTTTAAACTTTTATTTATATTTATTGTTTTATACTTACCGACAGGTGGAGGTAATGGTTATAGTTGTGTATGCAGCACATTTTGTAGTTTAAATGTGCTACGTTATATAAATAAACAGTGATGGCAGTAATGGCGTTGAAAGTAACAGCGTTACTAATGCCGTTACCTTTTTTTAGTAACGAGTAATCTAATTACTTTGACTGTAACTATAACTCAGTTACCATTGCCGACACCCTGTTACTGTACGTTACTCAGGTCGCACAATTAACCTTTTTTTCATGATAGGACTTGTGCTCACCTTGTCATGAGAAAGGGGAGGATGAGATTGGCTGATGTATAGTGAGATTACGTCAGTCAGTTGGGTAGGTGGGTGTTTCCGCTGGCGGGTGTTAACGTACAGCACACACTGATGCTGCGTTCACACCGGGGGCAGCTGGCGCGACAGAAGCAGCGAGTTTACATGCAAAGTCAATGGTTGACGCGCGTCAAGGCGCAGCAAAAGGTCCCGCGGCGCGTTTTGAGCTGCAGGCGCAGCGTCTGAGCAGCTGAAGCAGCGCGTCGGGCGCGTTTTGGCATCTGACGCGCGTAACGCGCCGCAAACGCGTTGCTGCTCGAGATGGAAAAATTTAATTTTTGCTGCTCGACGCGCCGCGTCAACCAATCAGAGAAGCTGATCTGGGAGCTGGCTGGGAGAGAGACACAGCGCTGATGACACAGACCACTCTGATTACTCCTCTTAAACAGTTTATTAACGCATAATTAACTTAAAATATATACATCTGCCGGCAGAATATGTTGGCTTTTATTTTTCTGGTGCTTGCAGATCGGATTATTTAGATGAAAAACACCTACCAGCCGCCGCGGTAAACCGCGAGGAGGCGACCCGTCCAGAGGCTACTGTTGAAGGGATTCCTTCTGTCGGCGCACCGTCGGTATGTGGGGGTCTGAGCGGCTACGACAGAAATAACATTCGGAGACAGGATTGTAATCTGGATGAACTGACTGCACTGATTAAGTTTTCAGGTGTATTTTCTCACTTAAAAACATATTAAAACTACTTGATTCCCACTGATCACAGCAAATATAGCTGCAGGGCAGAGAAAGGACAGTGAAGCTCCGCCCAACGCGCGTCAGAGCCACTTTTGCACCGCGCAGCCAGAGCAGCAAAGCTGCTTCAGCCGCGCGTCAGAACTAACTGGTACAAGCAGCAAAAATGAAGCAGCAGACGCGATTTTGCTGCTTTTGCAGCGTCCGGTCTGAACGTAGCATAAGAGATGGAGAGTGAGGAGGACTCCAGCAGCAAAATACCGTTTTCCTGATGAAAATACCGGTGTTACGTTGAGATGCGTTTCCCCATCATATACGGTTTCCCCTGCATCTCTGCACAGCACAGGTGGCACGAATCACCATGCAAGCGACAAGAAACGCGCATGCTTGCTAAAGGCGCGTAACAGCCGCCCTGTGCTCACGCCACAGGGGAACTACAGAGAGCGAGAACGATCAAATGTTAGCCTCTATGGAGAAAGGGATAAATCAGGATGGATGGACGGATGGATGGAGGCCGGGTGGTGAGGGTTACGGGGACGAGAAATGCAAAAGTAACACAATAGTTACTTTTACTACAAACTAGTTACTTTTATTGTGGAGTAACTCATTTAGTATCTCAGTTACTTTTTGGGAGAAGTAACTAGTAACTATAACTAATTACTTTGTCAAAGTAACGTGCCCAACACTGTAAATAAAGTGCATTCGATTGGATTAGATGTAATAGCTAACTTACTCATCATGTGAATCTTCAGTAATATCAGACTTGGTGCAGATAAAGTGGATGTGCCGACATTCCCCTCCGTTTCCAAGGAGGCTACTTGCACTTTTTAGGATCTCCCAGGATTCTCTTTCTGCTGCTGCTCGGTTGATTTCAGATACAATCCACACAGTTGAACAGTTTCCAACAATCTGAGGTGATATATGCATAGAAATTAATAACTCTACTACTAAAACAACAACTAGTACTATTAATGACAGCATATAATAATAATCAGGCTTCAGTCAACACCTCAATAATAAAGTATATATTACCCCTTTCCACATCTCATCTCTGCTTTTGTTACGGTCTCCATTTCCTGGAAGGTCCACCAGTGTAACGTGTTGTAGAAAGTTTTTATTTGGCACCCTGACAGTGACACACTTCACCAGTGGCCAATACCACCTTTTTACAACCTCACCTCCTTCTTGTTTTGTGTCACTTCGTGTGTATTTGATCATCTTTGCAGATAGAGCTTCAGCCTGCAAAACAAAATAAAAATTGTATGCATTGTGAAAAAGTCAAATTTTGGAACAGGGCACCCTTTCTTGCCTAAATGACTGTCAGAGAGTCCACGGTCATGAAAAATTAGCTTTGATGTTGACAGGAACACTGATGCTCCTTCTTCCAGATGGTGCAATGTGCAGACTCATGCTAATAATAAAAACACATTCAGGTGTTAAATGCAGGGAGCTTTGATGCTGCAGTTAAGTAATGGCTCCAAACGAAATTCTGTAAACCGGAGGTCTTCAACAGGTGGTCCGCGACCCCTAGGGGGTCAACGAAGGTACCGAATGGGGGTCATGAAAGTTTGGGTTGATTAGACTTTATTTTTATTCCTCCCCTGCAATTTTTTTCTACTAATTGAAATGTGTTTAAATACACATTAACATGAATTCAACACACTGTAGTAAACAGATAACTGGAGGCAGAAGATGTCTTTCGGTCATCAATGCACACATTCAGCAACACACAGGAGCTCTTTCAAGCTGGGCACTGTTTCACTCACAACACCTGTCCCATCAACCAGGAATCAGAATCAGAAATACTTTAATAATCCCAGGGTGAAATTACTTTAGTTACATTACTCCATCTAGAATATAGTGACTATAGGTTTGATATAACACAATTTGGTACAATATATATAATTGGGGGTTCACCGCTCCATCTTGCCATCAGCTTGGCCTGGAAAACGTTGAAGACCCCTGCTCTAAACCTTAAATCGTCCTAAGAGCTCTGCATAGTTAAGATATTTTCCTTTATTTGTGACTATTGGGAAGGGTCAAGGTCGAAAAAAACTATTCTGTTTTGGCAAAAACAATGAAGAAATATATTATAAACTACCAATTATGACTATTATATGGAAAAGCTAATAGCCCAATTTGAGTTAGAAATATATTCCCCCATTTAGGACCACTTTATAAAGTATTCCAGTTGACAACTTCTTTATAAGCTTGTTAAGGTTTAAATAATTTGATTTGATGCTGCCATGCCAACAGATGATGGCACAAGAGATCACCCTCTCCACCACAGACTTATAAAAGATATTCAGCATTTCTTTGAACACTGAAGGAAATAAGCTTCCTCAAGAAGTACAGTTAAGTACAGTCTGCTCTTTCCATTCCAGACTGTTTCCAATCCATTTTATTGTTCAGGTAGACACAAAAATATTTATGCTCCACTTCTTCTCCATTGATCATAACTGTGTTTGACCTGTTCTAGTTTTATTCTAAAAATGACAATAGTCTCCTATTCATTACAAATATGGGTGTTTCCACACCATGACAAAAAGCAGTCCACCAGCTGGAAAATAAAGTTTTGTTAAATCATACATCAAAAGCTCTGCCCCTAGTCACGGCTAGTGACTTTATTTCGGCTCCACAACATGAATCTTATGAGAAATTATTATAATATTGCAAACCCTGCACATTGAAAAAAAAAAGTTTCTGAAAAGTCACAAAACATTAGATAATTGATTAACATATATTTTTCTTACTGATTCACACGTCAAAGTTTTTCGTATCGACTGACGAAATTCTGGAATTTCCCTGAAGTATTTGTGCTCCATGAGTTGCTCAGTAGTTTTCCATTTCCAGTCTTCCCCATAAATTGCAGACAGTTTTTCAACAAGATCATGATATTCATCATTATATTCTTCATCTTTCTCCTGATCTTCGTTATCCTTAAGAAACTGATCTCTGCTGCTCAATTCATCTTCCCACTCCTGAAAAAAAAGAAAAAATTATTATAAAGTTGAAAAACAAATGTATTTCAAAAGAAAGAAAAATATATCCATAGTTGACCTCTTTTGTGATGAACTCAATCTCTGCCTCATATTTATGGTTGAGCCTGTTAGCCTCCACTTTGATCATGACTGAGGTACAGGCACTGAGACTTCCAGATGGTAAAAGCCTTTCCTCTTCAATGACAGCATTTATCAAAGATGTCTTTCCAGCTCCGGTTTTCCCAAAGACTCCAACCAGCTCTCTTTTTTCCGTCTCCAGATTCATTATTTTAGTCCTGTTGAAAATCTAAACTTTTAAACCTTGAACCTCTCAAGTCTCCCAAATTTATTTAAAGACTAAGGGTAAACAACAAAACATAGCTTGGTATTAGTTTGATATATACATGAATATTACATATGGATAAAAAAAACATACATTATCAAGGTTTACATCCCTGAAGTAAATTCCAAAATGTGCACAATGCAATACATGAAAGTTGTTAATTTTATATAAATATAACAAATATATTATTAAGTAATAAAACGTACACATAAGTTAAGTAGCATTTAGGTTTTATCCAAAATATTAATATTTAAAAAAAATTTTATTGTATAATTTTAGGTTCTGCTTTGTACAGCCCATACTGTATTTTCTATTTGTAAATTATAGGTCAGTAAGTTTTGTCAGTTTGATGGTACTCTTTTTACCTGTCTGACTACCTTCAGCCCTAGAATAAATATCAATGTAAAGTCTGATAGACACTTTTTAGCCGTCACATTTTGACTTGAGCTCAGTGGGCCATTCTCCCTCAGTCCAATATGTCTAGTAATGAATATTTTAGAAGTCAGAGGGGTGAACAGATGCTCCACGATAGGAAACTGACATAAGAAGGATACAGACTATTTTTCTCCCCTCTCTAGAAGATTAGCCATAAAAATAAACCAGACCATAAATGCTGAGGTAACCGTAAGTAAAGTACATTTTAACCAAATACAATAATTAACCAAAAACACTTAACAAGGAATATATAATTAAAAGCATGTTTCTTTAAACTGAAATAATAGTTATTTTCTGCATAAGGATGCTAGATACCTTAAGTTAAGAAAATCCCTACAAAAACCAAAACAAATTAAACATTGCTATTTCTATGCCTTTGCATCTCATCAACATAAACTTGTATAAATACTTAAATAAGTAATAATTTGTGATTTTGGAGCAGACTGTCCAAGAACACAGAAAAGTACTTACTTCAAAAAGTTGTTAACCTTTGTGTCTTCTTGGTTTTGTAGTTTTGCTTGGACATCTGCCATTATGTTTTTTACACCACAGAAAATCCATAAATCTTTCATTGAAAGTAAAAAAAAAAAAAAATGTCAGGTCAATTGCAAAGATTGAAATCATAATTGAACTGGGTCTTTTAGTATCAGTCCTGTACAATATTCTTTAACCAAACAGGTAATATCTCAGCTGTACTGAAGGTAGTTTACCACTTTGTGCCCAAAATGGATGTTTAAACATAATTCTTCATCTTGCTTTTTCTAATTTCTCAAAGAAACACCTGAGAAGATGGCTTCATTCTTTCGTTTTTTTGTCGGTTGAAATTTGCTGGAGTCACTCTGGAAATCCACCTTTCTCTTTCCTTGTCATAATAAAAAAAAGAAGAAAAAAAAAACAGATTTGTTGGTAATTTCTCGCTTCTAGTTGTACCGGTGTAAAATATGTGTATTTCTTACTTGTATCACTGTTGGATGGTAAAGTCTGAGGATAAACACAGATGTCATTTAAGTGTTTGTTAAAAGATGCAGTTAATGAAACTTCCATTTATAATAATAATTTACAAATATTATGCAATTTTGATGATTTTTTAAACATATGAGCATTTTAATTGATATCATTAGACGTTTGCCATGAGATTATAGAAATCATAAACTTCTCAGAAAGCATTTGCTCAACATCATGTCAGATTTCTGGTTCTGTTATGTTTTTCTTTTAAGTATTGAGTTTTGCTTTGCTCTTTGTTTTCTATTTTTAGTGGTTTTATTCTCATTTTGTTGTGTTCTCTGGTTATTTCTCAGTCACGGTCACAGTTCTGGTTCTGTTATGTTTTCTTTTGAGTATTAAGTTTTGCTTTGCTCCTTGTTTTCTAGTCTTAGTGGTCTAATTCTTATTTTGTTGTGTTTTTTGGTTATTTTCAGTCTTCAGGTTTTTGTTTGTTGTCCTCTGCTACCCTCTTGTGTTCACCTTTTTCTTTGCTCCTGTCCTGATTCTGTCCCGTTCACACCTGCTCCCAATCTACTCATTAGTCATCTCTTTGTTTCAGTCTCCCTTAAATACTCTCTCTGTTCGGTTCTTCAGTGCTGGTTCCTCGTCTAACTTCCTTCAACTCCGTCTCTCCTCGTGATAGTATCCCCCCTGATGTCTCCATGGTTTCTGATTTGTTTTGACTTTGTTTTCATGTTTGGATTTTTGGATTTCCTGCCTCTGTGTTCAGTTAACCATTCATTAAACCCACAAGAAAATTACCTCTGCCTCCCTGCCTCTGCATTTGGGTCAACAAACCACAATGAAATCCTGACACATCAAATACGTATTAAATATTCCTTTTACCAAAATGAGTCCCCTTAAATTGGTTTGGAATGTGTTCCATTATAGTCAAACTAAAACACATCCTCTAAACACTTTTAGATTTGACATCCTAGCATGTAATAAAAGTATATATTTCGAAGTTTGTGAAGTTATTTCTTGCAGTTGTAAAATTATGTAGGAATAATTTCAATTGATCAAAAACACAAACCAGATTTGAATTATTCTTTATCTAATAAATACTGACCAGGCAACATTGAGAAAAAAATACCTTATATCAATAGTCTTAAACTGAGGAGCTGAATCTAAAACATGCTGGTTTTAAGGACCTGGGTTCAAGACACTACTCATCCACACAAATGCAACATTCAAATTTTTGAAACATCTTCGGTAAACTTAGAGTATACAAAAAAATCAGAACTGAGCATTAAGGCCTGTGGTGTGAATATAGTCTTACTTTCCACAATGTTTTTTTTAAGCCCAATCAAATGAAGTGTTTTTGCGTTTAGGCCTGAGTTTTCCTTTGTATGGTTTGGGCCTTACATAACTTAATACTGCTAAATGAAAGGAGTGTGCTAAGTTGCACTGTACAGACATTCTTACTTGTTTTCCTTTTGTCATGATTTTTGTCCTACCCTGTTTTTGTTCACTCTACCTCTCCTGATCAGCACTGATTGTTCCCACCTGTGCAGCTCTCTACTTAAGCTCCTGCTCTTCCCCTGCTCTGTGTGGGATCGTCTGCCTTTCACACCTTTCAAGTCCTGCTTCATGAGCCAAGTATTACCCTACCTGTCTTTGACCACTGCCAAAGTCCTGACTTACTATTGAATGAGTTCTACTCTTTCTGAGTTATGCTGAACTTTGCAAAACTTTAACACTGATCAAGCCCACTGGATTTTTGAAAACCCTCTGCCTGAGTGTTCTTTTGTGCATGGCCCTGGACAGGAAAAGGATTTCAAACTGGATTGTGGATGTCTGTACCTCTGCTCTCTTTAACCCCCACTCTAATTGTTTTTTTTTTTTTTTTTTTTGGTGGAATGGCTCCAGCATCACCATGGTAATGCTGTGGGCTGTGTGAGAAGGGCTGGATTCTGACTGGGGACTTTGAGTGAGACCCTTCCTGACTGACTTTTAGATAAATCTGGAAAAAGGAGGAGGCCCTCTGCCATTCTGCTGTCACACAGCTAAATGGTCGAGATGTAAGGGCATAAAAGAATGTCAGATCTTCCTCTGCAATTTGGGCTTGTATCAATAGTTTTGTTTTGTTAACCATGACTGGTATAAATTATGTTAAAGGGATAGTTCGGTATTTTTGACATGAATCTGTATGGCATCCCCATCACCAGCGGCATGCAATCACACTGACTTACCCCTGGCAGCGTCCTGTGAGCAGAGTTATCGTCCAGTTTTGGTCAAGCCGAAAGTAGTCCTGCAGGTTTTTAGGAACAGCGAAATAAAACTTTTCTCTTCCATTCAGACAGCGAGCCCAACAGCAGCCATGTCTCCTTCCGCGGCGGAGGGAGACATGGCTGCTGTTGGGCTCGCTGTCTGAATGACGGCGCGCACTGATACGAACAGAGAGAAAATAGGACCAATTGATAACGACGTGTGACTTTTTCCACTACAATGTTTTTGGGATGCAAAAATATCACTCTTTTGAACACATAATGTTTTGGGAAGAGAAAAGTTTTATTTCGCTGTTCCTAAAAACCTGCAGGACTACTTTCGGCTTGACCAAAACTGGACGATAACTCTGCTCACAGGACGCTGCCAGGGGTAAGTCAGTGTGATTGCATGCCGCTGGTGATGGGGATGCCATACAGATTCATGTCAAAAATACCGAACTATCGCTTTAATGCTTAAACGTTTCCTCCTTTGTGTACACTACCTGAGTTACATTATTGGATCTGGACCAGGTAATAAAAGGATGATACAACATCTCTGAATGCAAAACCTTAGATCTAAAACCTATTATTCTATGTGAAGAAAAAATTACCTCCGTCAAAATAGTTTCTTCTTTAGAGTCGGCTTGAATCTGTAGATGACATATTTCAAGTGTTCACTCATGACAACATTTTTAAAATAAAAAAAAAGTTAGGTAAAGTAAGCATTTAACCGTACAAAGCCTTTTAGGTAAATATATTTGGCATGAAATTCTCACCTGATATCATGAAAAGCCCATCCAGCCCACATTAGGAAATTTAAACCACATAACACAAGCATGAAACGGCAAATAATGTTTGAGTCTGATTAATGGGATGTGGGAAAAGTAAGGAAATCTTTCTATAATTAGAAAGCATTCATGAAATTAATTTGTTTGCACATGTTGGCTCCCTTCACTTACATCAAGTGAAAATTCAATTTCAGTTGCATTTTTAAAAATAAATATGCTTAAAAATGGTGTTTTATACCAATTTTACCCAATGTATTTCCATGCATTATCACATCCAAATATACAGAGAGAAAAAAGTATGTTTAACTAACTTGAGCAGAAAAACTTTCCATCGCCATTTCTGTGCTTTCTTCTTCCTAGAGGAAAGTAAATGACTGAAATCATTGTCTATGGGGTCTGTTTCACGAAGCAGGTTTACTGAAAACTACGTTTTCTAAACCTGAAATCAGGAAAACTCTGTTTTCGATTTCACAATTAGAGTTTACTCAACCTCTGCTTCAGTCACCATAGTAAGATTTTCCCCAAAGCTAACCTGGTTGGGAGCAGGTTTTGTTCAGTGAACTCGGAGTGTCCTCAGAGTCCTTACAGCCAATCACACTGTTTTTAGTTACTGATTAAGTCAGATTTTTGTCGTATTTTTGGGCATAAAAAAAAAACTCACTTGGTCAGTTCTGTTTATTTTTACAGAACATGAAGAACTACAAAAATAATTTTCAGATTACACATAAATAGATTAAATCTGCGGGGGGGATACCTTAGGGTTAGGATTAGGATTCATTCAGTGATGAGCTACTGAGCCTACTGGCACATCTGAAGCCATTCTATGGGACTGATAACCGCTAATAACAGCCATTTATGGAGGTGATAACATACGAAGCGGCTGCAAAAAAACCCACTTAGTATTTACTGTGTAAAAGAAGAAAGAATCAAACTGGAGAAGCCTATGATTTGACGAGGTTTCATCTATTAGAACATAATTTATTTTTCTTCATCACCTACTGCCAGATGATTTCACCTAAATAGATACACTGATTGGCTTCCATTCAAGAAATAAACCTGTTATGTTGTGGTCACAACAGCTTATGGCAAGCCGATTGATCTGTATTAGTTTGACTGAATATGTATTCCTGATATCTGGAAAAGAGGAGAGTTCTTTTAATAAATGTTAAAATGGCCTGCCATAGTCACTTCAAATAAACCCACTCATTAACTCGAGTAGCAATCTTCTCCTTCGCTATCTTCCATTCCTGTGAGCTGGATCACTGTTTCTCTGTCTTTTAAACACATTCTGCATTTTCTTTTCATTTCTTCATTAAAATCTACAGTTCCAGAGGGGTGAAATAGGCAATTCCTGTTGACTGTTGTCACGGTGACTCGTCAATTTGGGGCTCCACTGATAATGCCTCTTCAAACTTGTTATGCACGTGCTCAACTCTGAGTGGACCTACTTAGAGTTGATTGAACTAATTCATAGCAGCCGTTGTGAAACCGAAAACTCAGAGCTCCCGACTTTAGACTAGATCAATTCCGAGTTGAGGATTTGAATCTGAGTTTGTTAAACCTGTTTCGTGAAACAGAACCCTGAACTTAGACAAGGGTTAGCTTTAAAAACATTTTTAGCACAAATATAATTAAGGAAGTAAAACAAAACTGTGCATAATATTTTCTGTGTGAGCTTTTACCTTCATTTTCTTCAGTCTCTGTTTGAATCGTATCCTTGGTCCCATTTTTGGAATCAGTTCATCAATATCTTTATCCATAAGATAGTAAAGACTTTCTTTGTCGATGCCTTCATCTGCAATTACATTATATTTTACTAAATTGTTGTTTTGGCGGATGACGTCATACACGTTTTTAAAAGATATAAATATAAAAAATATAAATATAATTGTCTGGGGTACAGTGATTCACCTACATGTTATGAATGCTGGTTTAACATAAATGATAAATTATGAACAGTTTAGTTTGTGCCTTTAAGTCATTGCTCATAGGAAGACGTTACTTGGACATAACCTAACGGAATATCTTCAGAACAGCTCCAAATGACACAAAACTTATATGTGTGAGTAGAACATGATGTAATAGCGTAAAATCAAGGGCCCAATGTAAAAAAATCTTTAATATGGAGACCATAGCAGTGTACAGCCAAACATCTTTCTTACAGAAAGACTATGACATATAGACACTGATTTCAATGGTTTGGGTTCCTTGTGGCTTCCCACACCACAATTCCACCACATTTAGTGTGAGCTTAGTTTGAGAACCTTTATATTTAGCATGATTGTCTTTAATTTCCTTTCCAGTTTCCTGAGATATCCCCCCCCCCCCCAAACCCCCCCCCCCCTTTCTCTGGTCCATGTTGAGTGTGGTACACACCCTGTCACCAAACAGCACAGCGACTAGCTTTAGCCCTAAATATAGGCCCACTGACTGACTAAAAGATTGTAGACACTCATGATGCTAATTAGTGGACACACTTTAATTTAGTTTTTCTAGGCGGTACCATAATTTTTGTCCAGGCTTGTTTTGAGAGTTTATTACTATTTGTTGAAGCAAGGCTTTAAAAGCTGTCTTAATTTTTTATTTTTTCCTACTTGCTTTGATTCTGTTTTATTTTCCTATATTTTAAACATGTAAAGCACTTCGCATTGTCTTTTTACTGAATTGTGCTATACAAATAAATTTGCCTTACCCTGCCTAATTTTAATAGTTGTTTTTTTTATTGATTTTTTAATTTAATTTAGAATTACTTTTCCACATACAAGTTTTTTTCTGTTATCATTCTGAGTTTTTCTTTCAATAAAAAATGGCTACCAACAACTTTGTCAGTGTATGTAACTTTGTGAATTATGATGTAATTCTCACTATGGTAAATCTATGTAAAGGGCTGTGTATACTCCTGCAGCAATGTTTCGCAGGTATAACGCAGATACTTTTGATTTATGCCCAATTTTGAAGCGTGGCCTGCGCTTTGTTATTCCACGCCATAATGTATTAGCCTGACGTACTGTAGTCCGACTCAATTCTAGTCAGAATATGAGTCTGATACTGCTCCATAGAGCTGTGATTATGGGGCGTGTTTCGAACGAACCAGGAAAAAAAATGCCTCTGCACTCAATTGGATAGACCTACAACCAATAAGAGCAACGGAGTGCGTTACGTATGTTAAGCCACGCATAGTTGTTGTCCACAAAAATCAAAGCGTGCAGTTGCACGCCTATAATAAGAAGATGAGATTTGATCGCGTTTCTCTGTTCCTATTTTAAAATTAATTTGCTGTCGATATCTTCTAGAACAGACCTAATAGCAGAATCTACTCACCTCAACTCTCCAGCGGCAGCCATTATTGTTGTCACCCAAGCGCGCATTGGTCACGTGGTTGATTACGTTACTGTTGGTCATCTGTCCATCATCGTATAAAGCCCGCCCTGACAATTTGATTGGATCGCCTGCCAGTGGGCGATAATACTCGCGCTACTATGGAGCAGAGCCAGACCGAACTTCCCGACCTCAAACTTTGTGGGCGGGACTAAGTTCGGAATGGCAGCCAGGCTAATAATGTATAGAACGCTGGGACCCTTTCTCCACTTGGATCCCTGCTCTTTTTCGCCCTCATGCTCCGTTATCACACAAACTTGTCTCTTGCGTCTTTCTACTTCCCGTTTGTGACCTCGACGGTCATACAAACAAAACAAGCCGGTAAGGTACCAAACAGGAAATAAGCATAGTGTAGAACGAATGTAGCATTGACCAATCAGAGGCCTCCTTTCTATCCTCCCTGTGACGCTATCTGCAGCACTGTGCGGTCACCTACAATTTTGAAGAATGTCTGCAGAAGGGGGGGACGACCTGGTGTCTGAGCATAAACCAAGCTTTAGTGTTTTTAGCTGCATAGTAAACATAGTGAAGTTGTTAGTTTTAAAGCAATCTGTACATGCACTGCACTCTCAGTATGTAGCGAATTACAAAGTAGGTTACAAATCTCAGTGGGTTTGACATTAAAACAATTACTCTTCTCCTTGAAAACTAAGTTTTCTCTCATAAGACTTATGTGTTTTCAGTTATTCTGTTCTTACACCAAAAAAAAATTGTCCTTTGATATATGACAGCAATAATCTTCCTTACCACCAAGTCCATTGTTAAATATATTCAACTGTTTAAAATGTTTGTGTGAATTTAAACCCCACAAAAGTAAAAGGAACAAATAAATATGTTACTGGGCCTCAAAGATTTTGAAGCCAAAAATACTTATTTATTATTGTATAATAATTATATTGTTTTGTCTATAATAAACACATGCTGATTCTCTCAAATTTTAAATGTCAACACAGGTTTTTCTCTCAAAAGTGTAGTACAACATATTAGCAAGTTTAAAAAAAAAACAGTGTTACATTTGATTGTCATTTTAACAAAAGCTGAAGTTAAAACTATTATTTTCTAATTAATAAAAAGGAATTTTAATACTTTACCTTCAAATTTTTCCCGCAACTCATTTAAACCCCAAAGGTTTAGTTTGTTACGCACAAAATCATCCATTACTTAGAAAAGAAACTGAAAGACAAATCACAGTGTTTGAATTTGTAATCTGTTCCTAATATTTAACACTTGGAATAAATAAACAATTCATATATGTAGGCTATTTTCTGATATATGGGTTAGAGAAGGTTATAAGACTCACCAGTCAGTGCAGAAATTGCTAAGACAGCTAAAAGCAGTGTGAAGAAGATATATAAAAGTGTGGGAGGGGCTAAAAAAGCAATTAAAATATACGACCAACTCAATGTAGCACAACAAATTGAATTGTAGAAAATAATTTAGACTGTTGAATTACAAACAAAGGTGGAACAAGGTGTGGCATATGGGTAAACAAGAGACAAGAGGGGAGAAATGCCAACTGAGAAAGGAGTGACACAAAATAAGAAGAAAAGGAAACTGAGCTGCTTATCACAGTGAGCATTTAGATCCAAGAACAGGGGCAATAAACATCAGTACAGTTAGTTTCTGTTTAAGTTGTAATTACAATAGCTTTAAACTGCAGAAGAATAATTTCAAAATAAATGGGGGGAAAAAATGTATAACACATTTCTTTCCTACTTCATACATGTACAAATTGAGTAAAAATCCTTTTGGGCTATACGTTTTGTTTGTACATGACAACACTTTCACACATTTATTAAAGATAGACATCCAATTTATCTACCAATTTCAACACACCAATGTGTCACTCACTTCAGTATTTTTATCAACATTCCTTTAAAGTATTAGGAGATGAAATTGTTGGACCTCATGTTTTACAATTTATCTTAATTTATCTCATGTTACAATTTAGGTTATGCCATTACTTACACATATTTCAGTCTCAGTTTTTTTTTCTCACTAAACATCTATGTTAATCTTGGTTTGATCTATAAACTTTGGTTAAATGTTAATCACTGCTAACAGTTCTTACCCCTTAGTTTAATCCAGTGGTTCCCAAAGATTTTCTTCTGGGCCCCCCTTTGGATTACAATAAAATTTCCGCCCCCCCCCAAAACAAAAAAAAATAAAAAAAATAATAAACTGGGCACACACATCGTTCAACCAGATATAATAAATCTATACACATATTTTGTTTTCAAACTCCACTGAAGTTTATTTCACACTTCAGGTTGCAACAAAACAAACTACACCATCTTTACAGTGGAACACTTTTGTGTAACTGTATTTTTTTCATAGTTCTATAATGTAGATTAGAAGAGGATTCTTTGTTGTCTGTGTTATTTTAAACATATTTCTTTTTTTTTATTTGTAACAATATTTAACTTTGCTATAATCTATACATTAAAAAAACCTCTGTGCAAAATGGAGTGAAAACATTGAACAGCTCCCTGAGAGTTTTTTCTTTGTACTTTAATCCTCCCATCTTTTCAGTGGCTGTAGTGAGCCTGCTTTTTGCTGTAGATCTTCTCAAATCTGGGTTGCAGTGTCACAACTGTCCATTATGCTCAGTCAAGCAAGCGCTGTTTTTGTTTTTTTTTTTTTTGTTTTTCTTCATTCATCCATACCGCTTCCCGCGCCCACCTTCAGTGCCCCCTCCACCATCGTAGCTAAAGCTTCATCAGAGCGTCATTCCTTCCAGACTTTTCCTGCATTCCATGTCTCATTTAAACCGCCATGTTGAGCCTGGTTCTGCCAGAGGTTTCTTCCCAACGGGGAGTTTTTCCTCTCTACTGTCCCTCCATGCTTGCTCATCATGGACAGGTTCTCTCAACCTGTGTTATCCAAACTGGAGTTCCATCTTCCAGGTCCCTGAGTGAAGCTCTAGTATCACCTCCACAAGCCACTGGATCTCCCCATAAAGCTCAGCATACCGTCTTGCTAACCAGCAGTCTACAGACTGACCAACTTCATCTATTTCCACTCCACCACCAGTTTCAGGCCTGGGGTGAAACAACCCTGTTCTTTACTCCTCTCCATGCATATGTAGCCTGGTCTAAAAAAAAAAAAAAAAAAAAAAGCTATTTCAGGCTAATACAATATCACAGTTTATTGCTTCTCATCTTTGCTACTAGGTGACTTCCAGGATGAAATGCTTTAAAGCCTTAATGCTAAATGATAAAAATGTATTGAAGATCTAAAAAGTATTTTCTGAAGACGGGCCAGTCAGTTACACAGCACACACTGTATAAGATATATGTAAACTTGTCAGTACTGGGGTCAGTACTAGGGGCCATGACCAGTTCTACAAGGGAACATTTTATGGCACTTCCCTCATTATGCTTTAATAATATACAGAAAAAAAATTGTACTTTGAAAAAAATGCAGGATAGTAAAAATGTATCCATGAAAGCATATGCATCAAACTCAAGGCCTGCAGACTGAATCCACCTGCCACCATCATTGTGTCATGACGATATTGCCAGATTTCATTCTGTTTTCAGTTTTGTTTTCCCACTAACCAGCTTGGTAAATCATTGCTTAAGCTATAAACCAAGTGATAGCACAAATTGTTAAACATTAAACCAAGATAAACCCAGCTGGTTAGTGGGAAAGCAAAACTAAGACTGAAATCTGTTTATAATATCATGACACAAATATTACGCCAACAGAAAAATTATAGAGATATAGCATATACAAAAAATTAAATTTTGTTCCCAGAAAAAAAAAAAGTATACATATGAAGTACAATTTAATATTAAGTTGTGCAGACAATATATTATACCTGCTCACGAAATCCTAATCAATGTCTAAAGCATATTTATTCATGACAACAACATTGGTATGATCTATGACTTGCAGTGGCCCCAGATCCAGTTAAGCGGTCATTGAGAAATCCTCAATGACGCTTAATGGGGCATTTTTTTTTGCATTGTGCTAATATAAGTGCTTGGCTCATTGGCACATTTTATATATTAAAGTTATTGCTTTCAATCACAACTTGATCATTTTTCTGTTCTTGAAACATGTAGTTTAGTTTATGAGTTTAGTCTAAACCTTATCTCTCAAATTCCTTCTTCAAGAAATGAATTTAACCTCTGTATTCATACATTATCATAATGTCTAACCTTGCAATGCAGCACTGATTAAATGTTATTTTAAGCACAGAGCTTTTATCGCTTCTCCTTTTCTCTCGGTTGATCGTAAAAAAAAAAAAACTTTATTTTGTATGGGCTTCAGCCTTTAAGCCTATTTCTTGTGGTTTAAAGACAGCACTATGTAATCCATAGATATCTGTGGAAAGATTAAACGCAAAGCATCTATTTACACTAATTCTGCCTTCTGCATGTGTAAATACACGCTTGGAAATGGATTGCGCAATGGAGTAATAGATGAAAAAAGGATTGCTGGTCAGGTCAGAGGCAGAGAACTAAGATCTAATGCTGAGAATAATTACCACAAAAGTTACCTAAACGGCATGCCAAATATCTACTGTATCAAGGTCAGCAGTCTATTGCAGGGCAATACAGAGAAGAACAGGGCAAACAACCATTCACACACACAAGGAGAATTTAGAGAAACCAATTAACATAACAGTCATGTTTTTGGACTGTAGAAGGTGTTAGGTTTCTGTTTCTGTGACGTTTTTCTTTTGATGTTCAGTTTTGCTTTGTTTTTTGTTTTACTGTCTCAGTCTTGGTTCTGTTATATTTTCTGTTTAGTGTTCAGTTTTGCTTCACTCCTTATTTTCTAGTGTTAGTAGTTTTTATTTTTGCTGTGGTCTCTGGTTAATTTTTAGTTACTGTCTCAGTCTTTGCTCTGTTATGTTTTCTTTTGAGTGTTTAGTTTTACTTTGCTCCATGTTTTATAGTCTTAATGGTTTAATTATAATTTTGTTGTACTTTCTTGTTATTTCCAGTCTTCCAGGTTTTTCATTTGTTGTCCTCTGCTGCCCTCTTGTGCTCTCCTTTTTCCCTAGCTCCTGCTTTGTTTCTGCTCTGTGCTCACCTGTTCCCAATCTGCTCATTAGCCCTCTCTTTGTCTCAGTCTCCTATTAAAGCCCTCTCTCTTCAGTTCCTCTTTGCTGGGTCCTCGTCTTACTTCGTCAAGCTTCCTCCAACTCGTCTCTCTGAGCCTTCTTCCTGGTTTCTGTAATTAAATCAACTATAAATTCACCTTTGCCTGCCTGCCTCTGCTTTTGGGTCCTCAATCCACAGAAGGGACAGAAGGAAGCCGGAGTACCCGGAGAGAACCCACGCATGCTCAGGGAGAACCTGCAAACTCCATGCAAAAAGACCCCAGGCTACCCACTGCAGCCCCGCATGTCCAGCCAGTTGATTTCTAATGCCAGCTTATCCAGTGCTAACGGCAGCCTATCCAAGGCTAGTACCGGCTGATCTGTGTTGATGGGCAGCAGAAGAAGTTGCTAATCCAGTGAGTGACCAGCATAGGCATGGTAGACCCCAGCCTCTCCAAAGCTAATGCAAGAGAGTTCTCTCCTTCTAAGTTACTAGCTTGTGCATCTCATTTGCTAGTGCCTGCTGCTCAGTTACCGATGCCAGCCTATAATTGATCAGATCAGTAGCTGGCATTGGAATGGATATAGCCTCTTGTGCCAAGGAAGTATGCACTGGTGGGTGTGCAATAGTCTTAATTTTGGCACCAATACCGTGCAATAAGAGAAATCTAAATTAGGCATCTTCAACTTTGGGCCTTGATTTCCAGTGCCTTGCATCTTTTTTGGGTCTGCTTCCACACACCTGAATCTGATAATTGGAGTACGGAACTGCAGATGCAAATTCCTTTGCACCCGTTTTAAGACAAGCTAACCTTCTGAAGATTAGACCCAAAGTGTCTTTGCAAAAAACTATCTGTATCCGATTAGTACCACTAATACCAAGTGTTTTCAAGTATCTGATTGTAAAAGGGAATTGATGGTATTGGATCATCCTTTGATCACTCAAGTTCAATCAGATTAGGTAATGTTTCTCAGTGTACACAAAGGAGAAAATGTGTTTAAAAATTAACAGAATTTATTCCAGTCATGGTTAAAAAAAATCATTGATATAAATACAAATTAGAGAGAAAGATCTCACCTTCTATATTAGGCCCTTTTTACATCTTCACCCCTCAGCTGGGAGAACCAGCTAAATGGCCAAGAGCCTCTGCACTCTTTCCAATTTTATCTATAAGTCTGGCATGAGGTGTCTCCCCAAAGCCCAGATTCAGCTTTAGACCTTCTCACACAGCCTGGAGTTTTACCATGTAAGGTGATTCTGGAGCCACTCTAGGCACCATACGTAAACATAAGAATGTCAATTTTACCTAACTTACACAGAAGAGTGAACAGATATACAAATGAACAGACAATAATATAAAACGAAATGAATCTTTATTCAACAGTGGTATCAAATATCACTTTCTCCTTGTATTTCAGCTCTATGTTTACTAGTTTATGTACTATTATTCTTCCCAACATGCTGTCCCTGACTTCCTGTGTCTAACACTTCGTTTCTGCTGACAAGACAAACAGCTAGACACATTCAACACTTATGTTAAACTGTGAAATAAAAAATACCAATTGCATTTTGCAGTGAAATCCTTCCTCATTTTTTGTTTACTGTACTATGCATAGCACATGAATTCAGTGCAGAATTAACAAAATTAATTAACAAAATCAAACATTGCTGGATGCTTATTAAAATATTACCTGTTTGGCACTGAATCAACAAAAGATAATTTAAACACAGAATAAAAAAGTAGCTCTTTCTTTTTTCTCTCATTGGTTACTCCTCATTTTCAATGCAAAGTGTATAGGCTTGATGATTAATCTTTTCATGGTGTATATTAAATCCTATTATTTTGTTACCATTACATGAACCAAAGAAATAGAGTCTGATACAAAAAATTGAATGAATAAATTTCCTTAAATCCTAAATTTAGAACAATAAAAATTGACATCAAAAACGTTTCTGATTGGATTGAATAATAGAATTTGAGTTTTTCCCCTTACTTCATCGGTATTACATTCTTCATCGGAATTACAAAGAATCTAATGTAAAAAAGGCTACTACTACTGTATGTTCATCAGAAAAAAAATGCTTTTTTAACAGTTTCTCTTTCCTAAACATTTTTTTTACACTTATATTGATTGTAAATAACTTTTAACCAATAATGACGAAAACAATTGTGGCAAACAATTCATCCTCAGTGAAGGCTCCCTCATCTTGAACAACCCTAGATCCAACATGTCATGATGACCATTCTGGGATCAAAGAAAGCTGTTGAACAAAGAAAATAATGTAACTGGAAGCTTTGATGATAGTAAACAGCAGAGCAACTTTTTAAAATATGTCATCTCCAAGAACTTTACCATTTTCAGCTGCTTTTCAGAAACTCTTCATGGAGTTGTTGAACCCTGGTTAGTTCTTCTGAAACGTCTAAACATACAGTTTTGATGACATACTCCTTAGATTATTATTGAAAGTTAATTAATATTATTTAAAGAACAGGTACTTTACCTGGAATTGATTCCTTATCAATCTTGAATGAGAGCTCAATGGATTCCTTCATGGTACTCTCCAGAGTGGCCAAGATCTCGGTCTAAGTTGGCATTTGTATTTGTGTCATTTATTGCAGTAAATCATCCGTTTCAAAGTAGAAGATAAAGTTAATCTTTTAAATGTCATTTTGGTTTTCTGAGATTTTTACTATCTGGTTTAGTGGAAAGGCTTATTTTAGGACTTATTCATCTATAACTTCTCTGTCACGGTCAGACTCTTAAACATTTCTGTATTTGCTGGTAACAGTTCCTCTAACTCATCTGGAGTCCAATCCAGTGAATAAATAAAGATCAGTGGTTAAAAGCATGACTGATCCTGATGTATTTAAAAAAAAAGGAGAATCACAGAGTAAACTGGTTTCTTACAGAATAATCAATGCACTCAGCATTGGGAAAGATCATTGCACAAGTGACAATGGTAGCAGTTGATAATTTGATATGAAAGAAAACATTTTTTGTATTTATTTCAAATTATAATATGTAACATACCCTCAAACTGCTATGCAGATCCAACATTTCATCTTTAGCCTTTTCAAACAGGATGTCCTTTGATTTATGGACATGTCTCTCTATAGTTTCCCTCATGTTCTGCAGTGAACCAGTTCCTGAAAATCCTGCTGCTTCTGCAAAAGAGAATGTTGAAATTTATTACAAATGTAAAATAACAAGGAATGCATAAATGCAGAACTTTTGTTAATTTATATATCAGTTAATCATACTGTCATAGCATTCCAGCAGGATTTCCTCAGCTGTCTTTGCTAGACTGTTGTAGATGTTTTTTTTACGGTTACGAATAAGTTTGGTCAGTTTTGTCTTTAATTGTTCTTCCTAAGAAAAATATAAGAAATTAACTGTTAAAAAAACAGACTTTTGGGCAAACTGTATTAATTGTACATGTTGTTGGTCTGTAAAAAAGCATTTATCTGTTGAATGACATGAACATAATACTTTCCCCATCAGTTACCTCATTCTTCAGAAATACCAGCTGTAGTTCAACATCACTGTACTTCTGTTTTAGCCCTTCAACATCAAGTGAAACTTCTTTGATTACTCCGTAGATTGGACCACATTTTCCGTCATTCCTGAAATATTTAAATGTGTTTTCTGATTATCTTACACTGTATAATTCTTTAAATTAGTACACTCATTATTTATTCTACACATTCTCTTAATTTAAGCGGCTTATAAAGTACTTACGGGAAAGTTTTTTTGAATTCCTCATCAATGCTATCTGTCAGGAGTGAAATTAACTTTGTGTTCAAGTTTTTTTCCCGCCCATGTTTTGGTTTCAGGATCCCTCTATTTTGGACCAGTTTCTTTAGTTGTTTATGAAAACTACTGCCACTCTTTCTCTGAAGAAATACAAACATTTCAGAGTATGAATAAATACAAAGTACTGTTTACTAGGTTTTTAGTATCCAAAAACATACTGGAGGATAGAGAAAGGTCCTCAAGAATTTTTCAAAGGAATGTTTGGATATTTCGACTCCTTCTTGTAGGCACTTTTCAAAAGTTTTGTAATTCTCCATCATTGCATATCTGATCAAGTCACTTTGTTGGCTGAGGTTTCTCTCAAGGTCTTTGCAAACATCTTTGTTTTCTCCACCCTGAAAAGGAAATAAAAATATTAGGTAGAAAAAATGTGTGGTATGAGTAGCTCTCACTGTGTTTATAAAGTCATTTTGCTGTAGCTTTCATCTTGGTTATGCCAATGTTCAAACATGAATAATTATGTCTGAATACTAACTCAGAAATTAAACATTGTCTTTTCTTTTACTTAAACTACATTTACCTATTTCGATGAACACATTTTAGTCACTTAAATAACATCCATATTATAAATAAGCGACATTTCCAGACTATTATACATAAAGGAAATGTTGGCACCCTTCAATTAATGAAAGAAAAGGTAATAAGATAAGACAAAAGTAATTACATACGATTCTAAGAACAAGAACAAATCAGAAATTGCTTTTCAGCCATGCTGAAACAGGCCTAGATAAAAATGATGGTACCCTTAGAAAAGAACATTAAAGCTATATCAAAAATTAAGGGTTTTGAATATAGGAACCTTTTGCTGCAATGCAACTGTACTACCGACTATGCAGCCAAAGTTTAGCAGCGGTGGACTGCTACTACTTCAACTGAGTTTACCTGAGTCTAATATATTCTTTGTTTCTCTGAGTCTAACGTGATTTTTGTCTTTTGCCTTTCGGCAGGAAGTCATCCTGCATACTGGATGTTTGGCCTTCTCCCCCTGGAAGGATTGTTTGAGCTTCACACTGAGCAGGGGATTCATCTCCACACGTCCCGTTCAAGTTCTCCAGGAAATCTGATTGGCAGTCCCCTCCATTGCTCCTCAGAAACCAACCAAACCAAAAACCTGTCTGCCCTCCAACGAGCCCCTCAATCTCTGAAAAAACCCACACCAGCTGGATTCAGGGAAGAAACCTTTCTCCGCAATCGTAAGTCCCGTTTATCTCTGTTTTTGCAGGACGTCGTTCAAAGTTCCCACGGACCCTGAACTAACCTATGTGAATTTCCCTTCTAACTTCCAGTTCCGGTTCAACAGCTCTCTTAGTTCCCCCGAATCCAACCCTTTGAACTCCTCAATAAACCTGTTAAATTTTTCTCTGGTTTCTCTGAGTGGTTTTCTGCATGTGGGTCAGATCTCTTAAAACCGTCATGACAGGAACTGCTCCACCTCTCGATGTTCTGATTTAGATCTCTAATGATGTTTGGTTCTGACCTCCACTGTTTTCATCAGGAAAAAAAGGTGTTCAAATAATTAAAAATTACTCTTCAGATTAAAGGCCACAGTTTCTTATGACAGTTTGAGGGTTATTTGGATGAGGGCAAAACTGTTATATTGAGTTTAACAGTTTTAAGACAGTTTTTTTTTCTACGTAACCATAATAAGATCAGGAAAAGTGAAACTTGGAAGGTGTGTTTTTTAACCAGAAAAAACTTAAGGGCCTAAATCTTACCATATTCCCTGACTTTGCTCCTTGAATCAAAGAGAGGATCCCATTAGCTCCAGACAAGTAGTTTGATGTTTCTGAGTGACAGTCATTGAGATTTTGCAGAAACTCCTGAAGCTTGGGGATTTCTGTGAAAACACAATTCAACTTATAGAGGTAATCTTTTTAAACATAATTCTCAAGTATTTATCACACCAAAAAAGGGATACTTATCCTACCAGTGTATTCTGGACTTAGATATTTCCTCTTGACAAACTATTTGGAGCTCACTGTGAACACTTGGAAACAACCTTCATTGAAATGTTACTAAAACAGTAAACGTTAATAGGCATTATGTTTGTATCTTTTTTCTAGAAGTGGCTTATTTTGCTGTTGGGTTTTTTTTTTTTTTTTACCATTAAAGCTCACCTTAACTTTGGCTAGCTTGTTGAATTCTTTTCTCACATATTCTTTGGCTGACATGTTTCTTTTAAGTATAGAATCCAACACAGCAGCTCTGCAGAAAAAATAAGTAATAATTGTATATATATATATATATATATATATATATATATATATATATATATATATATATATATATATATATATATATATATATATACACTATATTGCCAAAAGTATTTGCTCACCCATCCAAATTATTGGAATCAGGTGTTCCAATCACTTCCATGGCCACAGGTGTATAAATTCAAGCACCTAGGCATGCAGACTGTTTTTACAAACATTTGTGAAAGAATGGGTCGCTCTCAGGAGCTCAGTGAATTCCAGCGTGGAACTGTGATAGGATGCCACCTGTGCAACAAATCCAGTCGTGAAATTTCCTCGCTCCTAAATATTCCACAGTCAACTGTCAGCTGTATTATAAGAAAATGGAAGTGTTTGGGAACGACAGCAACTCAGCCACGAAGTGGTAGGCCACGTAAACTGACGGAGCGGGGTCAGCGGATGCTGACGCGCATAGTGCGAAGAGGTCGCCAACTTTCTGCAGAGTCAATCACTACAGACCTCCAAACTTCATGTGGCCTTCAGATTAGCTCAAGAACAGTGCGCAGAGAGCTTCATGGAATGGGTTTCCATGGTCGAGCAGCTGCATCCAAGCCATACATCACCAAGTGCAATGCAAAGCGTCGGATGCGGTGGTGTAAAGCACGCCGCCACTGGACTCTAGAGCAGTGGAGACGCGTTCTCTGGAGTGACGAATCGCGCTTCTCCATCTGGCAATCTGATGGACGGGTCTGGGTTTGGCGGTTGCCAGGAGAACGGTACTTGTCTGACTGCATTGTGCCAAGTGTAAAGTTTGGTGGAGGGGGGATTATGGTGTGGGGTTGTTTTTCAGGAGCTGGGCTTGGCCCCTTAGTTCCAGTGAAAGGAACTCTGAATGCTTCAGCATACCAAGACATTTTGGACAATTCCATGCTCCCAACTTTGTGGGAACAGTTTGGAGCTGGCCCCTTCCTCTTCCAACATGACTGTGCACCAGTGCACAAAGCAAGGTCCATAAAGACATGGATGACAGAGTCTGGTGTGGATGAACTTGACTGGCCTGCACAGAGTCCTGACCTCAACCCGATAGAACACCTTTGGGATGAATTAGAGCGGAGACTGAGAGCCAGGCCTTCTCGTCCAACATCAGTGTGCGACCTCACAAATGCGCTTCTGGAAGAATGGTCAAAAATTCCCATAAACACACTCCTAAACCTTGTGGACAGCCTTCCCAGAAGAGTTGAAGCTGTTCTAGCTGCAAAGGGTGGACCGGCGTCATATTGAACCCTATGGATTAGGAACGGGATGTCACTTAAGCTCATATGTGAGTCAAGGCAGGTGAGCAAATACTTTTGGCAATATAGTGTATATATATATATATATAAAACACATTTTGGAATGTTTAACAGCATGTTTGTCTAAACTGAAACCTTTGAATGTCTAGTACGCCGCTTGGCTCTGCTCAGTTTTTTTGTTTTATTCTCATTTAACATCTGTTACAAGGACCAGCTGGTGTATAATCGTCAAGAATTGCTAAAAATAAGGGAAATGGTGCAATCGTGTACTATTCGTGGTGCAAACAAGTCGGACTAAGTTTACCCGGTTGTTTATTAAGGACTTTTCTGAATTTGTTGCTTGTGTGCTCACGAGTTATGACAGGGTTTTAATTGTCAGGGATTTTAATGTGCATGTATGTTGTCCTTCTAAGCCCATGGCCAGTGAGTTTTTAGACATGTGGGAAGCTTTTAATTTTACTCAACATGTCACTGGCCCAACACAAGTGCACGGGCACTTGTGTTGGGCAACAATTGTGTTGTGCAGTGGTTTTTCTGTTAACTATGTCGTTGTTGGGATGCCGTGTTCTCTGACCACAGTCCTGTCATGTTTGTTCTTACTTTGGACTTGGAGGTGAAGCTGTCTAATTTGCTTTAGTTTTTAAACCCAACACAGCTGCTGCTTTTTCTCCTCTTTTCTTTTACTGCATCTTCTCTGGATCATCTAAACCCTGCTGCATTCATGGACATGGAGCAATTAATGAACTCTTTTATTCCCACTCTGAAGCCCTGGACAGTGTTGCTCCTCTTAGAGCCATTTGTCCTAAGCCAAAGCTCGAACCGTTGCTCAATGACACTACAAACACAGTTCAGCGTGAGTGTCAGAGAGTAGAGCATATTTCGACGAAGAATCACTTGGATGTGATTCTTAGAGAGTACTGGAGATAATATCAAAGTCCATTTAAAGCCTGGCGTACATTGTGTGATTTTCGGGGCAATTTTCTGGTCGTAAAAGAATCTTTTGATCGGGCCGACTTTCAGCCTGATTGTGAGTCGTGTAGTGTACAGGGTGTTATGGGCGGAGATCAGCCTCTCACGACCACCTCCCGATCAGGAATTGTGAGGTTGGGAAAATATCAAACATGCTTGATTTTCTCCCGACCGTCGTGGGCAAATCATTCAGGGCGCATTAGCAAATATGGATTCTTCTTTTTATTCTTCCTCTCAGATGTAAACACAGCAGCATGGCAGGGATGCAATGAGTGAAATACAGTTCTGTCTGTAAAATTGACAGACTGTAGTAGCCACGTGTGCTCAGCCATGTCTTTTTTTCAAATATATTGTTGCCTTTTCTTTTTAGGACTTTCAGCACAAAATTCTACAAATTGACAAGGCAGCGCGGTTCATTATAGTGAGCTTCTTAATCCTGAAGCTTGTTTGGCTTCAGGATAGAGAGCTACAAAGCAGCTCCAAATCACTGCGGAGCTGAGTCTGATGTGGTTTTTAGTCTTAGTGTGAGAAGATAGATCGCATCAGAGCGTCAGGCCGAACATAAATCGTCAGCTGTGAATTCACACTGTACGACTAAACCCTGCGGTTAATTGTAATTTGAGCAGCAGCTGTGTGCATTGATTAAAAAAATGGCACAGTGTACACCCGGCTTAAAGCTGAGAAAGTTAGTATTTTTCACACTCGATCTTGACTTATATCAGTAAGCTTAAAGTTCTTTTTAAAACAATGGGTTCGGTTTTCAATCCGAATCAGTCCACTACATTGGAGATGACAAGGAAAACTTGTAAAAAAAAATCCTCTCCATTTTTAATGAGAAGGTTGCTGTTATTAGGGCCAACATATCTATCTCTTTATTGTGTTACTCAGTGTTCACTCAGTGCTCAGATGTTTTTTGTCAGTTTCAGTCTGAGTCATTGTCTGTGCTCATAAGGATAGTTAAAAAAAAACTAAAACCCTCTTCCTGTCCCACAGACCTCTTCCCTCCTCATTTTTTCAAAGAGGTTTGGGACACCATTGGCCCTTCTGTCAGGGAGACCATCAACAGCAGGTTGGCTTCTGGTACTATGCCTAGCCCTAGCCTACCTTTGACCATACAAATTCGGCAAATTATCACCCAATTTCCAAACTACCCTTGGTATCTTAGAGAAATGCGTTTTTGCACAATTGCAACCATTTTTAGATTAAAATGGCACTTTAGACCCACTCAGGTTCAGTCGGGTTACAAAGCTTTGCACAGTACTGAATCTGCACTCTTAAAGGTTTTTGACTACATAGTTTTAATGACAGATTCTGGAGGCTCTGCCATTTCAGGGCTTTAAGACCTGATGGTTGTTTTTGACACAGTTGACCACACGATTCTTTTAAACCACCTCAGAGATTGTGTAGGTGTCAGGGGCATCGCGTTGCAGTGGTTTCAGTATTGCCTGTCAGAGAGGTCCTTCTCAGTCAGGCTGGGAGACTCCACCTCATCTTCTGCCCCACTTCCCTGTGGAGTCCCCCAGGGATCTATCCTGGGAACCATTCTTTTTGCTTTGTACCTCCTCCTACATGGGGAGATTTTTAAGAAGCATGGCGTGTCTTACCACTTCTACGCTGATGACTGTCAAATTTACATGCCGATTGGATCTGCCCACACGAACTTAGGATCACTCAAAAATGATTGGTGTCCCAAAGTCACCAGCCTTGACATGTCATCAAAAATAGCGATTTTAAATTTGATAAACAGATCAATGGCATTTTAAAATCAGGTTTTTATCATCTTCGTCCTTTATCCACAGTTAAGCTGTTTCTATGTTTTAATCTTTTTGAGCAAGTTATGCATGATTTTATTTCAGGTCATCTGGAATACTGCAATGAACTTTATTCGGGTATCTTCCACAAAGCACTTCCCCACTTGCAGTTAGTACAGATCACTGCGGTACGACTTTTAACAGGCACCAAAAAAGGTGAACACATCATCCCAATCCTTGCGTGTTTGCTCTGGCTCCTTGTTAAGTTTAGAATTTATTTATTTTTTAATATTGTTAGTTTTTAAAGCCTTGAATGGACTGGCGCCACAGTACAGTACAACAGACCTCATCCAAATTTACCGTCCCCTGCTTGCTTTGAGGTCTGACAGCCAGCTCTAGCTTGTGACTCCTAAGATAAATCGGAAAACCAGATGGGACATAGTATTTTCTGTTGTCCGTCCGAAGCTGTGTAATACTCTTGCGTAAGTTGTGTGGTCCTCTGTGGTTTTGTGTTTATGTTATTATATTTATTGTTTTAAACTGTCTTACTTATATTTATTGTGTTATACTTACCGAAGGGTGGGGATAATGGTTATAGTTGCGTGTGCAACTCTTTGGAACATTTTGTAGTTTAAATGTGCTACAGTATAAAAATAAAGTGGATTGGATTAAATGTAATAGCTAACTTACTCATCATGTGAATCTTCAGTAATATCAGACTTGGTGCAGATAAAGTGGATGTGCCGACATTCCCCTCCGTTTCCAAGGAGGCTACTTGCACTTTTTAGGATCTCCCAGGATTCTCTTTCTGCTGCTGCTCGGTTGATTTCACATACAATCCACACAGTAGAACAGTTTCCAAGAATCTGAGGTGATATATGCATAGCAATTAATAACTCTACTACTGCAACAACAACTAGTACTATTAGTGACAGCATATAGTAATAATCAAACCTTCAGTCAACACCTCAATAATAAAGTATATATTACCCCTTTCCACATCTCATCTCTGCTTTTGTTTCGGTCCCCATTTCCTGGAAGGACCACCAGTGTGACATGTTGTAGAAAATTTTTATTTGGCACCCTGACAGTGACACATTTCACCAGTGGCCAATACCACCTATTTACAAACTTATCTCCTTCTTGTTTTGTGTCACTTGATGTGTATTTGATCATCTTTGCAGATAGAGCTTCAGCCTGCAAAACAAAATAAAAATTGTATGCATTGTGAAAAACTCAGTTTTAGAACAGGGCATCCTTTCTTGCCTGAAAGACTGTCAGAGAGTCCACGGTCATGTAAAATTAGCTTTGATGTTGACAGGAACACTGATGTTCCTTCTTCCAGATGGTGTAATGTGCAGACTCATGTTAATAATAAACACATTCAGGTGTTAAATGCAGGGAGCTTTGATGCTTAAGTAATGGCTCCAAACGAAGTTCTCTTAAGAGGTCTTCAACAGGTGGTCCGCGATCCCTAGGGGGTCCACAGAGGTACTGCATGGAGGTCGCAAAAGTTTTGGTTGATTAGACTTTATTTTTATTCCTCCCCTGCAATTTTTTCCACTAATTGAAATGTCTTTAAATACACATTAACACGAATTCAACACACTGTAGTAAACAGATAAAGGGATAAATATTATAAACTACCAAATATGACTACTATATGGAAAGGCCAATAGCCCAATTTGAGTTAGAAATATTTTCCCCCATTTAGGACCACTTTATAAAGTATTCTAGCTGACAACTTCTTTATAAGCTTGTTAAGGTTTAAATAATTTGATCTGATGCTGCCATGCCAACAGATGATGGCACAAGAGATCACCCTCTCCACCACAGACTTATAAAAGATATTCAGCATCTTTCTTCAAACACTGAAGGAAATAAGCTTTCTCAAGAAGTACAGTTAAGTACAGTCTGCTCTTTCCATTCCAGACTGTTTCCAATCCATTTTATTGTTCAGGTAGACACAAACATATTTATGCTCCACTTCTTCTCCATTGATCATAATAGTTTTTGACCGGTTCTAGTTTTATTCTAAAAATGACAATAGTCTCCTGTTTATTACAAGATGGGTGTTTCCACACCATGCCAAAAAGCAGTCCACCAGCTGGAAAATAAAGTTTTGTTAAACCATACATCAAAAGCTCTGCCCCTAGTCACGGCTAGTGACCTTATTACGGCTCCACAACATGAATCTTATGAGAACTTATTATAAACTTGTAAACCCTCCACATTAAAATAAAAGTTTCTGAAAAGGCACAAAACATTAGACAAATGATTCAGATATATTTTTCTTACTGATTCACATGTCAAGGTTTTTCGTATCGACTGACGAAATTCTGGAATTTCCCTAAAGTATTTGTGCTCCATGAGTTGCTCAGTAGTTTTCCATCTCCAGTCTTCCCCATAAATTGCTGACAGTTTTTCAACAAGATCATGATATTCATCATTATATTCTTCATCTTTCTCCTGATCTTCGTTATCCTTAAAGGAATAGTACACCCAAAACATGATTAGCCTTCATTTTCTACTCACCTCCATGCTGAACAACACTCTGGAGTACTTTTTTGATATCTCAAATGCATCTGGAGATCTGGGAGACTTCTTGCTGTCTGCTGACATTCAAATAATGGAGGTCTATGGCGCCCGAGACAGAAAGGTCCACAAAAGTCCACAAAAACTTGTCAATATTCCTCCATAATGCTCGTCCAATGTAATCCAAGTGTCCTGAGTGGGTAGCATCCAGAATTTACTCGAAACGAAGTCATTTAGAACGTTTTAGAGCCTAAACAGTAGTGTATAGGATTTCCTAATAGCGCCCCCATGCGCGCTCACGATTCTACGGAAGCCGGCAGACCAAACCAGCGCATTCAGCTCGGCAAAGAACTCATGCTCTTCCTCAACACTGAAGTCCTCAGACATTTTTCTTTCGTTGTTTCTTTCTTTGCACAGGTAAACAGCACATTTCTTCTTCTACGCTTGCATTATCGGCAGACCAGACGCTGAATGCGCACTTCCTTCCGGTTTGGTCTGCCGGCTTCCGTAGAATCGTGAGCGCGCATGGGGGCGCTATTAGGAAATCCTATACACTACTGTTTATGCTCTAAAAACATTCTAAATGACTTCGTTTCGAGTAAATTCTGGATGCTACCCACTCAGGACACTTGGATTACATTGGACGAGCAGTATGGAGGAATATTGACACGTTTTTGTGGACTTTTATGGACCTTTCTGTCTCGGGCGCCATGGACCTCCATTATTTGAATGTCAGCAGACAGCAAGAAGCCTCCCAGATCTCCAGATGCATTTGAGATATCAAAAAAGTACTCCAGAGTGTTGTTCAGCATGGAGGTGAGTAGAAAATGAAGGCTAATCATGTTTTGGGTGTACTATTCCTTTAAGAAACTGATCTCTGTTGCTCAATTCATCTTCCCACTCCTGAAAAAAATATATTTTAATATAAAGTTGTAAAACAAATGTATTGAAACATATTTGAAAAGGAAGAAAAATATATCCATAGTTGACCTCTTTTGTGATGAACTCAATCTCTGCCTCATATTTATGGTTGAGCCTGTTAGCCTCCACTTTGATCATGACTGAGGTACAGGCACTGAGACTTCCAGATGGTAAAAGCCTTTCCTCTTCAATGACAGCATTTATCAAAGATGTCTTTCCAGCTCCGGTTTTCCCAAAGACTCCAACCAGCTCTCTTTTTTCCGTCTCCAGATTCATTATTTTAGTCCTGTTGAAAATCTAAACTTTTAAACCTTGAACCTCTCAAATCGCTCAAATTTATTTAAAGACTAAGGGTAAACAACAAAACATAGCTTGGTATTAGTTTAATATATACATGAATATTAAATAAAAATTTTTTTTATATAAATTATCAAGCTTTACATCCCTGAAGCAGATAGCCAAAATGTGCACAGTGCAATAAAGAATAGGCGTTAATTGGATATAAATATACAAATATATTATTAAGTAATTGAACGTACATATAAGTTAAGTAGCATTTAGGTTTGAATTTTTTTTTAATAATTTTAGGTTTTGCTTTGTACAGCCCATAATGTGCTTTCTATTTGTAAATGTAAAAATATACAGACTTGCTAGTGATGACTATTTTTCTTCCTTTTATAGAAGATTAGCCATAAAAAGAACCAAGTACATTTTAACCAAATACATTAATGAACCAAAAAGACTTAACAAAGAATATATAATTAAAAGCATGTTTATTTAACTGAATTAATAGTTATTTTCTGCATAAGGATGCTAAATACCTTTAGTTAAAAGTATCTAGCATCAAAACAAATTAAGCATTGCTATTTATATGGCTTTTGGATCTCATCAACATAAAATTGTATAAATACTTATTGATGAAGCAAAGCCAAAATAATTTGTGATTTTGATGCAGATTGTTCAAGAACACAGAAAAGTACTTACTTCAAAAAAGTGTTAACCTTTTTGTCCTCTTGGGTTTGTAGTTTTGCGTGGACATTTGCCATTATGTCTTTTACATCAAACAAAATCGGTAAATCTGTAAGTGAAAGTAAAAAAAAATGTCAGGTCAATTGCAAAGATTGAAGTCATAATGGAACTGGCTCTTTTAGTATCAGTTCTGTAGAATACTCTCCAACCAAACAGGTAATATCTCAGCTGTACTGGAGGTAGTTTACAACTTTGTGCTCAAAATGGACTCTTAAACATTTTTCTTTTTTGTCCAAATAATGGTTTATCTGTTTTTTCAAATTTCTCAAAGAAACACGTGAGAAGATGGCACCTTTACTATCCCGTCGTTTTGTCGGTTGAACTTTGCTGGAGTCACTCTGGAAATCCAACTTTCTCTTTCCTTATCATCATAAAAACAGGAAAAAACAAAACCAGATTTATTGGTAATTTCTCCCTTCTAGTTGTATAGCAGTAAAATATGTGTAGTATTTCTTACTTGTATCACTGGTGGATGGGAAAGTCTGAGGATAAACACAGATGTCATTTCAGTGTTTGTTAAAAATTGCAGTTAATACAACATCCATTTAAAACAATTATTTACAAATATTAATGCAATTTTGATAATTTTTAAACATTATATGAGCAATTTACTTGATAACATTAGACGTTTGCCATGAGATGATAGAAATTATAAACTTCACAGAAAGTCTTTGCTCAACATCAAATACGTATTAAATATTACTTTTCCCAAAATGAGTCCCCTTTAAATTGGTTTGGAATGTGTTTTGTTATAGTCAAAGTAAAGCACATCCTCTAAACACTTTTAGATTTTACACCCTAGCATGTAATAAAAGTATATATTTCTAATTTTGCTATTGTAAAATTATTTAGGAATAATTTCAAATGACCAAAAACACAAACCAGATTTGAATGATTCTTTATCTAATAAATAATGACCAGGCAAAATAGAGAAAAAATACCTTATATCAATAGTCTTAAACCCTTGACCTCATGATTCACTGTTCTGCATGGTCAAGGATTTCCCTGCATTCGAACACCCGTCTTCAATAAAGGGGTTACAAATAGCCTGCTACAGTCCCTGGTGGCAACTGAGGAGCTGATGCAATAATCTGACTCAATTCTAAAACATGCTGGTTCTAAGGACCAGGGTTCAAGACACTACTTTAGCCTACAGTACATCCACACAAACGCAACACTCAAATAATTTTTTTAACATCTCCTGTAAGCTAGGAATATACAAAAAAATCTGAATTGAGCATTAAGGCCTGCGGTGTGAATGTAGTCTTAGTTTCCACAATGTTTATTTTAACCCCATTCAAAAAAAAGTGTTTATGCATTAAAGCCTGAGCTTTCCTTGCCTTTACATGGTTTGGGTTTGGGTACTGCTAAATTAAAGGACTGTGCTAAGTTGCAATGTACAGACATTCTTACTTATTTTCCTTTTTTGTTTAACTTCAGTTTCATAAAATCTTGGCATTTTGAATTTTTATTTTATGTCTCTGCTGAAGACTACATTATTTCTATTTTATGTTTTGAATAGTCGTTACATCTGTTCATATCTATATATGTGCATGGATCAGCCAAAATGGACACTTATGCTGACATATGATGGGCGGAATGGCTCCAGCATTATCTGATATGGTATTGCTGTGGGCTGTGTGAGAAGGGCTGGATTCTAACTGGGGACTTTGAGTGAGACCCTTCCTGACTGACTTTTAGATAAAACTGGAAAAAGGAGGAGGCTCCCTACCATTGAGATTCAAGGGCCTAAAAGAAGGTCAGATCTTCCTCTGCAATTTGTGCTTGTATCAATAGTTTTGTTAACCATGACTGGAATAAATTATGTTAATGCTTAAACGTTTCCTCCTTTGTGTACACTATCTGAGAAACATTACATTATTGGATCTGGACCAGGTAATAAAAGGATGATACAACATCTCTGAATGCAAAACCTCAGACCTAAAACCTATTATTCTATGTGAAGAGAAAATTACCTCTGTCAAATTTGTTTCTTCTTCAGGGTCGGCTTTAATCTGTAGATAACATATTTCTAGTGTTCACTCATGAAAACATTTGTTAAGAAAAAACAAGTTAGGTAAAGTAAGCATTTAACCGTACAAAGCCTTTTAGGTAAATATATTTGGCATGAAATTCTCACCTGATATCATGAAAAGCCCATCCAGCCCACATTAGGAAATTTAAACCACATAACACAACAAGAATGAAACAGCAAATAATGTTTGTGAGATTGATTAAATGGATGTGGAAAAAAGTAAGGAAATCCTTCTATAATTAGAAAGCAATCATGAAATTATTTATTCTTTTGCAAATGTGGTCTCCCTTCACTTACATAAAGTGAAAATTCAATTTCAGTTGCGTTTTTAGAATTAAATATACCAATTTTACCCAGTGTATTTGCATGCATTATCACATCCAAATATACAGAGAGAAAAAAGTATGTTTAACTAACTTGAGAAGGAAAACTTTCCATCGCCATTTCTGTGCTTTCTTCTTCCTAGAGGAAAGTAAATGACTGAAATCATTGTCTATGGGGTCTGTTTCACGAAGCAGGTTTACTAACAACTAAGTTTTCTAAACCTGAAATCAGGGAAACTCTGAGTTTTCCATTTCACCAAGACAGTTTACTCAACCTCTCTTTCAGTCACCATAGTAACATTTTCCCCAAAGCTAACCTGGTTGGGAGCAGGTTTTGTTCAGTACACTCGAAGTGTTCTCAGAGTCCTTACAGCCAATCACGCTGTTTTTAGTTACCGATTTAGTCAGATTTTTGTCGTAGTTTTTTGCTTAAAAGAAAATAAATCACTCACTAGCTCAGTTAGACACATTAGCCTTTAAAACATTGCATGTCTTTTTAATGAGGATGTTTTTAAAGAAAAATCTGCATTTTTTTTCCACAGAGAATGAAATATTTATAAGCAGAGGATTCTACAACTATGTTGAAAGGATATGAGATTTATTCGTTTTTGCTTTGTTTATATGAGCGAGATGCGGATTCATTTTTACAGAACATTAAGAACTCCCAAAATTGTTTTCAGATTACACATAAATAGATTAATTAATTCTGCGGGGGGAAAAAAAATTACCTTAGTGTTAGGATTAGGATTCATTCAGTGATAAGCTACTAAGCCTACTGGCACAATCTTAAGCCATTATATGGGACCGATAACCGCTTATACTGTAACAGCCATTTATGGAGAGGATAACATGCGAAGCGGCTGCAAAAAAAAACACAGAATCAAACTGAAGAAGCCTATGATACAATGAGGTTTTATATATTAGAAAATCTTTTTTTTCTTCATCATCATTCCCTGCTGCCAGATGATTTCACCTAAATAGATACCCTGATCGGCTTCCATTCAAGAAATAAACCTGTTATGTTGTGGTCACAACAGCTTATGGCAAGCCAATTGATCTGTATTAGTTTGATAGAAAATGTATTCCTTATATCTGGAAAAGAAGAGAGTACTTTTAATAAATGTTAAATGGCCTGCTTTGGCCTGTTTACTTTATATAAACCCACTCATTAACTCAAGTAGCAAACTTCTCCTTCGCTATCTTCCATTCCTGTGTAGCTGTAGCACTGATTCTCCGTCTTTTAAACACATTCTGCATTTTCTTTTCATGTCTTCATTAAAATCTACAGTTCCAGAGGGGTGAAATAGGCACTTCCTGTTGCCTGTTGTCACGGTGACTCGTCAATTTGGGGCTCCGATGATAATGTCTTTTCAAACTTGTTACGCACTTTCTCAACTCTGAGTGGACTTACTTAGAGTTGACTGAACTAATTCATAGCAGCCGTTGTGAAACCGAAAAACTCAGAGCTCCTGACCTTAGACTAGATCAATTCCAAGTTGAGGATTTGAATCTGAGTTTGTTAAACCTGTTTCGTGAAACAGACCCCTGATCTTAGACAAGGGTTAGCTTTAAAAACATATTTAGCACAAATATTAATGAGGTGAAACAAAATTGTGCACAATATTTTCTGTGTGAGATTTTACCTTCATTTTCTTCAGTCTCTGTTTGAATTGTAACCTTGGTCCCATTTTTGGAATCAGTTCATCAATATCTTTATCCGCAAGATAGTAAAGACTTTCTTTGTTGATGCCTTCATCTGCAATTACATTATGTTTTACTAAAGTGTTGTTTTGCGTTAACAATATTTATCATTTTTGTCTCAAGCAATGAGTAGTGAAGACCTTAAATGGCTGTTTGGCAAAAACTTTGAAAGCTATGATTTTGATTTGCATTTGGGTGAGAGAAGAATCTCACAGAGTTTAATAAGTAATAGCGATTGATGTAGGTGTTTGCAAATTTTCCTTCAAATATTATATATTTTGTTTACGAAAAACAACATCAACTTAAGGTGTTGTATTTCTGTCCATTTTTCCAGAGATTAAAAATTTAAAAGGATATTAAATGTGAACTCTCAATTAAGAATTGAGTACTTTTTAGTGTCTTATAACTTTTTAACATACCGTAGATAACCATACATTACTCAACGGTGAGTTTATTACTTTCATTTTTCTATAGTTGAGTTAGCGTTAGCTTGCATGACCGGCTCCGTGATGCTGGTTTTCCTTCCATATGAGCGCCACAAGCGTCACGTCACGTGACTAAGAAAACGTAATAGGATTGGCTAGGCGTTGGACACCACAATCCATTGCTAATGTCTGTGACCTGAAGTAACCCTTCCCTTTTTACACTGAATTTAGACGCCGAATTTAAGACAGTGAAATAGAGCCAGTTGAATCTCAGGAGGCTAAAATATTGAGTTTGAATTTTGAAAGGTTGAATTTTTTTATATGCAGATGTATTTAACACTGAAAATTTTAACTGAAAAATAAGTATTGAAAATGTAATCACTTTGAAATAGTTATGTGAACTTTTAGCTTGAAGAGAAAATAACAAATGAAATTTTAACTGTGTAGAAATAATGACAATGATTTTTTTTAGGTCAAAAATGTATTCTGAATATATTTTAACACTGAAACAGTAAGTACAAACATACAACATTTGAATTTCAGCAGCATTTCTAATT